TGATGTGGATGACTAGAATGGTGTATTTTAATATTTTGATAAATCTTTTAAATGTTTATGTATGTATATAAGAATTTGTCTCCCGGCATTGAATGTTTGCTGTATATATGTTGTGCCCTTCGGGGTGAGAAGGGCGAAATATAAATGTTTTAAATAAATATATAAATGAGGGGTAGTGATGCAGACATATTTTCTGCTGCTCTGAGGACCAGGTGTAGAACTAATAAATAGAATGTTTAGGAAAATAGATGAGTGGAGTTCTCCACTTCAGGGGTTTGAAGGCATTTAAGTAGAGACTCTCCAGCAAAGGATCACCGCCTTGTCGGGGCGCTGGAGCTTGAGCACCTCAATGATGTCATGAGCGAAACCGTGAAGGGCCACCCAAGACGGGACGGTTGTGGCAGAGAGGTCAGACCAAGCGTTATCCCTGGGGAAGGCAATGGCAAACCACTCCAGTATCCTTGCCAAGAAAACTAAATGGACCAGTACAACCAGAGATATGTCGGTATGCCATTGGAAGATGGGACTCCCAGGTCGGAAGATGGCCAAAATGCTACTGGGGAGGAGCAGAGAATAAGTTCAACTAGCCCCAGATGTGATGACGCAGCTAGCTCAAAGCCGAAAGGAAGGCTAGCGGCCGACGGTACTGGAGGTGAACGACGAATCCGATGCTCTAAAGATCAACACACCATAGGAACCTGGAATGTAAGATCTATGAGCCAGGGCAAATTGGATGTTGTTATTGGTGAGATGTCAAGACTAAAGATAGACATTCTGGGGGTCAGCGAACTGAAATGGACTGGAATGGGCCACTTCACATCAGATGGCAACCAGATCTACTACTGCGGACAAGAGGAACATCGAAGAAATGGAGTAGCCTTCATAATTAATAAGAAATTCGCTAAAGCGGTGCTTGGATACAACCCAAAAAATGACAGAATGATCCCAATTCGAGTGCAAGGAAAGCCTTTCAACATTACAGTGATCCAAATATATGCCCCAACCACAGCTGCTGAAGAAGCAGAAGTAGATCAGTTCTATGAGGATCTGCAGGACCTACTGGATAATACACCAAAAAAGAGACATTATTTTCATTACAGGAGACTGGAATGCCAAGGTGGGAAGTCAAATGACAACTGGGATCACAGGCAGGCATGGTCTGGGAGAACAAAATGAAGCGGGACGCAGGCTGATAGAATTTTGCCAGGAAAACTCGCTGTGTATAACGAATACTCTCTTCCAACAACCTAAAAGACGGCTTTACATGGACCTCACCAGACGGTCAACACCGAAATCAGATGACTACATCCTTTGCAGCCAAAGGTGGCGGACATCCATACAGTCGGTGAAAACAAGACCTGGGGCTGACTGTAGCTCAGATCACGAACTTCTTATTGCTCAATTTAGAATAAAACTAAAGAGATCAGGGAAAATACACAGACCAGTTAGTTATGATCTCACTAACATTCCTAGCGAATATACAGTGGAAGTGAAGAACAGATTTGAAGGACTAGATTTAGTAAACAGAGTCCCAGAAGAACTATGGACAGAAGTCCGCGACATTGTTCAGGAGGCGGCAACAAAGTATGTCCCAAAGAAAAAGAAAACCAAGAAGGCAAAATGGTTGTCTGCTGAGACGCTGGAAGTAGCCCAAGAAAGGAGGAAAGCAAAAGGAAACAGGGATAAGGGGAGATATGCCCAGTTAAATGCGCAATTCCAGAGGTTAGCCAGAAGAGATAAGGAACTATTTTTAAATAAGCAATGCATGGAAGTGGAAGAAGACAACAGAATAGGAAGGACAAGAGACCTCTTCCAGAAAATTAGAAACATTGGAGGTAAATTTCAGGCAAAAATTGGTATGATAGGAAACAAAGATGGCAGGGACCTAACAGAAGCTGAAGAGATCAAGAGAAGGTGGCGAGACTATACAGAAGATCTGTATAGGAAGGATAATAATATTGAGGATAGTTTTGACGGTGTGGTGAATGAATTAGAACCAGACATCCTGAGGAGTGAGGTTGAATGGGCCTTAAGAAGTATTGCTAACAACAAGGCAGCAGGAGACGACGGGATCCCAGCTGAACTGTTTAAAATCTTAAAAGATGATGCTGTCAAGGTGATGCATGCCATTTGCCAGCAAATATGGAAAACACAAGATTGGCCATCAGACTGGAAAAAATCAACTTATATCCATACCAAAAAAGGGAAATGCGAAAGACTGCTCAAACTTCCGTACAGTGGCCCTTATTTCTCATGCCAGTAAGGTAATGCTCAAGATCCTGCAAGGAAGACTCCAGCAATACATGGAGTGAGAGTTGCCAGATGTTCAAGCTGGGTTTAGAAAAGGCAGAGGAACGAGAGACCAGATTGCCAATATCCGCTGGACAATGGAGAAAGGCAGGGAGTTTCAGAAAAACATCTACTTCTGCTTCATTGACTATTCTAAAGCCTTTGACTGTGTGGATCATAATAAATTGTGGCAAGTTCTTAGTGGGATGGGCATCCCAAGCCATCTTGTCTCTCTCCTGAGGAATCTGTACAAGGACCAAGTAGCAACAGTCAGAACTGACCACGGAACAACAGACTGGTTCAAGATTGGGAAAGGCGTACGGCAAGGCTGCATCCTCTCACCCAACCTTTTTAACTTGTATGCAGAACACATCATGCGATGCGCGGGGCTTGATGAATGCAAGGCTGGGGTGAAAATTGCTGGAAGAAACATTAACAACCTCAGATATGCAGATGACACCACCTGATGGCCGAAAGCGAGGAGGAGCTGAGGAGCCTTATAATCAAGGTGAAAGAAGAAAGCGCAAAAGCCGGGTTGCAGCTAAACGTCAAAAAAACCAAGATTATGGCAACAAGAATGATTGACAACTGGAAAATAGAAGGAGAAACCGTGGAGGCCGTGACAGACTTTATTTCTAGGGGCAAAGATTACTGCAGATGCAGACTGTAGCCAGGAAATCAGAAGACGCTTACTTCTTGGGAGGAGAGCAATGTCCAGTCTCGATAAAATAGTGAAGAGTAGAGACATCAGACTGACAACAAAGATCCGCCTAGTCAAAGCCATGGTATTCCCTGTAGTCACCTACGGATGTGAGAGCTGGACCTTAGGAAGGCTGAGCGAAGTGAGATAGATGCTTTTGAATTGTGGTGTTGGAGGAAAATCCTGAGAGTTCCTTGGATCGCGAGATGATTCAACCAGTCCATCCTCCTGGAAAGAAAGCCCGGCTGTTCACTGGAGGGAAGGATATGAGAGGCAAAGATGAAGTCCTTTGGCCACATCATGAGAAGACAGGAAAGCTTGGAGAAGACAATGATGCTGGGGAAAATGGAAGGAAAAGGAAGAGGGGCCGACCAAGGGCAAGATGGATGGATGGCATCCTTGAAGTGACTGGACTGACCTTGAGGGAGCTGGGGGTGGTAACGGCCGACAGGGAGCTCTGGCGTGGGCTGGTCCATGAGGTCACGAAGAGTCGGAGACGACTGAACGAATGAACAACAACAACAACAAGTAGAGACTGGATGGCAATCTGTCAGGGAAGTTGTATTATGCAGAGTACAGAGTGTTTGGATGAGATGGCCTCCAAGCCCCTTTCCAGCAATAGGTCTATGTGCCATCTTGGGTGCTGCATCATCATTACTATTAGTAAATTGTCTCTCAGATTAACTCCCCATATGGTCTTTCTTTTTTATAATAAAAATATTTTAGTAAGCATTTTAAATGGTTTAAAAGCTGCATGGTCTTTCTAATAGTATAATGCTTAAAGTTATTTTGATGGGGAGAAGTATAAAAACAGAAGAAAATAAAACGTTGAGATTTCTCCAAGACAGAATGGACTGAGGGTATGAAATACTCCTCCAAGTCAATTACTCTCTATTTTTATTTTTGTATGTATCTTGGCATGTATAGCTAATTTGTATTAATAGCTGTATTTTCTCTCATTGTTCTTTGGTATATTGTCTTATATCAAATCTACTTGCTGTGGAAATAAACTTTTCCAATCACTCCAAAGCTTTTCTCTATTTTTTATCATAACATGGAGATATGTGAATTTGATAAAAAGAAGTTCACATTGTGCCCAGGATTTTAATGAAAACGGAGAGCCCAGTTCCCAAAGCTAATTCCTCAGAGAAGAGTAGCAGACTGCTCCTCACTTGGGAACTGTACTGCTAACCATTATTTCTCATTTATAGCTTGTCAGCTTTTTTTTACTGCCCGTTATGATGTTTTGGTGCAGACTAGCTATTTGAATGTATAAGAAAAGAAAACTAGAACTACACAGATGGTACTGAAGAAACAGGAGTCAGCATTATGCTAGTTTTATAAACTGCTTGCACATTAATTGGTTTTAGTGCAGTTCAGCTAAACAGTTAAGATAATGGAATGTAAGACCTCAAGGAGAATAGACATCTAAGAACTGTGTGTCTGGGATAAGATCAATATTACTACTGGACAACCAGAAAAGCCTATGAATAAACATCCTATTGAGAACACTAATACAGTATTGTTAAGCAGATTCCCATCTTGGGCCCTTCTACAGAGCCCTATATCCCACAATATCAGGGCAGAACATCCCTCAATATCTGCTTTTAACTGGGTTATCTGAGTCCACATTGAAATAATGTGGAATTTCCTGCCTTGATATTCTGGGATATAGGGCTGTGTGGAAGGGCCCCAAGATCCATATTTTCTCCATGGTTCTAGTTGTATCTTGATCATCCTCTTGAAACTGGCGTATGTTTTACATGAGTAACTTTTATTGCAGGGATCTTACCTATGTATTGAGACTAAGGGCCCTTCCACACAGCCATATAACCCAGAATATCAAGGCAGAAAATCCTACAATATCTGCTTTGAACGGGGTTATCTGAGTCCGCACTGCCATATCTTCCAGTTCAAAGCAGATATTGTTAGATTTTATTCAGCTGTGTGGAGGGTGCCCAAGTGTTATTTAGTTTTGCACTAACATATTCCTTCTTTCTCTCCCCAACAGAAATGTAACGTGGAATAATTTGGCAATCCCAGATACACATTGTTCAAAAGCATCAGAAGAAGGTTACCAGTGTCCACCAGGGTTTGAATGTTTGGATCTTGAAGAATTGGGGCTGAGCAGGCAAGAGCTGGGCTACAGTGGCTTTAACGAGATAGGTCTGTCTCCCTGATTAAAATCTGTTTTCAGTTCCTATTTGAAAATGGTTATAAAATATGTAGGAGAGACTCTTAACAGACAGTTCGTAAATGTACAGTGAAGGGGCACTAATGTGGTGACTGTTCTTGTCTTTGACAGATTTTCTTCTCCCTCAGTGCTCAAACTGGAAATTGCTTTAGGGATATTGTCTATGTGATCCATCTATGCTATTCATTTCCCAGTATAGTTAGAGCCATACTCAATGTTACCTCAATCATGTGCACTTTTCTCGGATGTTTTCCTCTTTGACAAAGTGCCACCATAGATATTAGAATCTGTTGCAGGAGCCCCGAAGGGGAAGAGACCTCTTAACCATTCTTTTTTTCCAGCTCTGCCCACTCTCTAGAATTGATATTAATCCTCAGAAAACTAGTCTTCCAACATGAAGGTGAGAAAATAATTGGGTTGCAGTTCATTGATGTCATATGTACTTTGTCCATTTAATATATATGGACATAAAAAGACCCCTGTTGAATTCAAAACAAAGTCCCATCTGCTCCAGCATTCTGTTCTACAATGCCCAGCCAGATGCCTGTTGGGAACACATAAGCAGGACCTTCCTGCCTATGTTACCCAGCAACTGGGATATAGTGGTGTTCTATTTAGTAGGCATGAACATACGTATATGGTTTGTGAGAGAAATAATGTTAAAGACTACATGAGGAAAAAACATTTACTGTATGTGTTTAACTCATGTGATTCAAATGTGTATGCACAGTCCCCAATGGAAGGAATCATATTACACAGAAGCAGCTCATGTGCCATATGGTGTGCATGTGAACTAAATCGCCTCAGATAACTGAAGGCCCTTCCACACAGCCTATATCCCAGAATATCAAGGCAGAAAATCCCATAATATCTGTGTCCACACAATGTGGGATTTTCTGCCTTGATATCCTGGGATATAGAGTTGTGTGGAAGGGCCCTGGGCTTTACATATGAAAAGCTCTTTCTTGGTTTTGTTTGTTTGTTTGGGTTTCTTTGTATTTCCTTTCAAAACGCTTAAATTTTCTATAGTGAGCATCCTCAAGAAATCAGCAACTGATATGCACTGACATGCCAGATTATGTTTCTTTTCATCTCCTTTCCATGCTTTAGCCTTTTGTTATATTCTATTGTCTTGTTTAGTTCAACAGCATGTGTGCCAATTATTTTGATAGCTGTATATATCGTAGGGAGAAACCTGCTCTTGTGTTCCATGGATTTAAAAAACTCAGTAATTGAAAGGCCTAATTAGGTATATGATTTCATTTACATAGGCTTCAGTGTTTTCAACAGGTGTCTACAAAGGCCAGATTAGAAGAGACCTTGAATGATACCGTGGAAGGAGAAAGAAAAGTAATAGGTCAGGTGGGCATGACTGTGTAATTACATTTTCAGCATAATTGAGTGTGTGATTGTGCATCTAAGGTGAGCTAATATATTTGCACATGAAAGTAACCATGCATCAGTGGACTACAGTAATGTGCTATTCTTTGTTATGGGTTTTTTAAAGTCTTGGTTCCTCTGATATATAGGAGACAAAATTAAATGGATGTAGATTGCTAGGTTTCCAATTTCGGTGTTCTTAAAATAGCTTCTGTCTCTGAAAAAGCTCAATTACTGGTAATAGCCAGAGAGACACATAGTATTCAGTGCTAGATTGTGCAGACTGTTACTTTTATTGTTCTCTGGGTTGATGTATGCATTTGGTGGAACGCAACCGGGGGCTGGGGGTGAGCAGGGACTGGAGTTTTTTTCCGTACCAACAAGCACCTTTTCTGTAGGGATTCCTACACAAAGAATTACTAATGGACTCTCACAGATTGATCATTGCCAGGACATTGTTCAGTTATGTAAGGGCTTTTAAGCCCTATTTACCAAGGACTCCTTGCTCTTTAGGACATTCTATATAGGAATACAGAGAATAGCAAATCATTCAAACTGTCCTTGGAACACAAGGGGGAGCTTAATAATCATATAGTGTTACCACAAAAGTAGAGTTTGGTGAGGAAATTCCCTTTCAAAACTATCAGCTAAATGTCAAGGTATGAACAAAAAGAGAGAGTCTATGAAACCATCACTTGAAATTAAAATTAACACATCAGTGCAACCTACAGAATTTTAACTACTTCAGTGATATCTAGATTTCAGAACTTTTGTTAGTTTCTGGTTGGTTCCAAGAGGCAAGCTGAAGCTTCTTCCAGTTTAGGGGAAACCAGTTCCACCTGGGTCATCTTTGGATGGTGTCATACTATTTTGTCCAATAGTTAAAACAATTTGATAGCACAAGATACCATTATATCCTTTTGATATGCTTTTAGTTGTTGGGAAACCTTATATTTTACTCTGGGTAGTTAAACATATTATTTATTGTTTTATTTATTTATGCTCTGTTTTATCTACCCCAAAGAGGATTCAATGTGGCTTAACATAAAACATCAGCATAACCATTCAAAATATACAAATATATGAACATTAAAACAGGATTGAATATAAATGGTATTAAAAATTCCCAGCTAAAAAACCATTTGAACACATTCAAAGTTAAAAATGAGAGCACCCCTGAATTCATCTTAAAAACCTTCATCTTTAAAAACCTGTCTGAATAAAGAAGTTTTAGCCTGCCATTGGAAGGACAGCAGGGAGGGGGCATTCTGGTTTCCCTGGGAAGAAAGGAGTTCCAGCGTTCACACCAACTGAACTTGAGATGAAGGTGTGACTGAGAGAAGGATCTCTTCTGAAGATCTCAAGGCCTGGGCAGGTTTGTACAAGGGGATGCAGTCAGTCAAATAGCCTAGACCCAAACCATCTAGGGCAGTTAAACTGGTTGGGAATTCTGAGAGTTGTAGGCCAAAACACCTGGGGACCCAAAGCTTGAGAACCACTGATCGAGGACTTTAAAGGTCATAACCAGCACTTTGAATTGTGCCGAGAAACAGACTAGCAGTCAATGGAGCTGCTACAACAGGGGGGTTGTCCACTCCCATTAGCCAGCCCCAGTGAGTAATCTGGCTGCAGCTCTTTGGACCATCTGAAGTTTCTGAGCTCTTTTCAGAGGATACTAGATGCCTGGGTTCTAAGTAAGTGGGGAGAAGTCAGAGCCTTGCTATCAAATAGGATTTCTGCTCTCTTCCCTTGCAATTTTCTTTCACTTCTAGCATGGTAGTGATTTAAAACTGAAGTTGAGCATTTCTAAATATAGTTTAAGCACCCAAAGAAAAGGGATGGGCACGGTTACCAAGGGAATACAAACTCAACAAACGTAGGAGTTCTGGAAGTGATATTTTTCAGTGCCTTCCTTTCTACAGTGCTAGAAAACAACTAACGGGAAAAGGCAGAATTCTTATTTTAGAGCAATGCCTCATTTTATTGCCACTATATCTACAACTCTACTATGCTATCTTAAGGTAGATGTGCCTTATAGGAGCAAGAGAATAATTTGTTTCTCGGGCTCCTTCCAGGTAACTGTATAAAATCCACACTAAACTAGATTATATGGTAGTGTGGATTCAGATAATCCAGTTCAAAGCAGATATGGTGGATTATTTGCTTTGATATTCTGTGTTATTTGGCTGTGTGGAAGGGACCTTGGTTTCTCAAAGGCACAGAGTGACAGAGTTGTTAATCTGTTACAAGGATGTGCTCTCCTGATATTTTGGTTTGCACTTTCTATCAGATAGGAAGGATAGCTATAGTATGAGGCCCTTCTAGACTGCCAAATAAAATCCAGATTTTCTGCTTTGAACTGGAAAATATGGCAGTGTAGACTCATATAATCTAGTTCATAACAGATAATGTGGATTATCTTCTTTGATAATCTGGATTATATTGCAGTGTAGAAGGGGGTTGAGACAACTATAAGACAACTGGCTGGCTAGCCTTGATCCATTAGAACAGCATTTCTGGACAAACTTTGATCTGTTGAGGTAATAGTGACTAACTAGCTCATTGGATGGGCCACCAGAATCACCATGCATCATCGGCCCATGCCCCACATTGCCCAACTGAACGGAGTCCCCATCCAAGGGGGGGGGGGTGTCGTACACAAAGGCAGGAACACCTCTGACCCTAAACTCCACACCAGCTTGGTAAAATCAGCAAGCAGTTTATTGTAAAATATATATAGGCCAAGCAGTAAAAAGTAGCAAAACAGTAAAGGTACAAATTCCAAAATACTGCATAAGCGTCAAAGGGAGCAAGATCCTTGAATATATAGAAATCCGTGAAACAAGGCACTTGAAACCATGAAAAAAAACAATAGGGAAATCCCGTAGACAAAACTTAAGCCTGGCAAAAAATTGGTACATGAAACTCATAGCACTTGAAAGCAAGACCATGATAAAATAACAACATTATCTTAACTGAGGCAACTCACTCCCATGAATCATTATAAACCTTTTCCAGAACCCAAAACTGAAAGAAAAGCATTTCTCTTGACTTTCCCACTAGATAACGGTTTGTTATCTTTCTTTTGCTGTAGACAAAGTGATTGCCTCCGTCTCTGAAAGCTCTACCTCTGTTTACAAAAACTTTGTTTTCTGCCCAGGGTTTCACTATCCTCTCCCTCATTAACTCCTGCATCTGACAAATCAGTCTCAGCATCATTTTCAGACAGTTGTTCTGAGAAAAGCGGTGAAAGGTCTCTCCCAGGACTGTGGCCTTGTGAATCTTCCTGAAACAGCCCAGGAGTCTCTTCTGAACTTAACTAAGGCCCAAGCAAATCATCCCCAGGCCCGTCATCAGGAACACCATCCCCATCCCCATTCCCATCATGAGCACCAACATGAACATCAGACACAATCACAGGCTGAACAGGCTGAAATATAACAGGGGAAAGCATTGATCTCCTGGCTCCCCTCCTCCCCTCAACCTCTATTGAACACTGGAAGCCTCACATGTTCCTGCCATGGTGGCATGCACTGGTTCACATATACTTTTACGACAGAGCCCACTAGAAGTTGGCTCCATCGTAAAAGTG